GGAATTGATTAAGAACCTTAAAAAAATCTGTGGGAAAGCTTCTGTGGAAAGACCTTATTAACAAATTTAAAATGAAACGTTGTAGCTAAGAAACAAAAAGTCTGAAACTAAAAATTCTACTTTCAGCTCTCGATGTGCTCTTTGAAATCATACTAGTAAAGTACAAGGAAAAGGTCCAATGAAAACATTCTAGAAATAGTTATATACAAAAGAACCTGGAACGTTGCCATGATGACAGATTTCAGCTGTTGCTTTCACAGATATTGCTCTAGAGATTGAAAAGGCAGAAAAAATATTAAACATGTCCTTCATCCGAAGCTAAAAAAGGCCGAATGAATGCTAGAAAACTAATATAGCTTATCTGATAAAATTTCTTCTCTTGAGATTAATGGCATGACAACAGTGAAAATAATTTTTGTTTTGCTGATTTTACAAATCACTTAAAAGAGATAAGTAAGTTTTGAAATTGCAAAAAAGGGGAAAATTAAATATCACGCAAAGACAATTTCCTTTAACTGTTCAATTTCATAGGCATGTGGAAACAGAAATTCTCGCTATTTGTATTTATGATGTCAACAAATACTTCTGCGAAAGCAAACTTCGAGCTTTCACAAACATAAAACTGAAATATTGTCGCGAAATAATACACGAGTTTTATGTTTTGAAATTAATGTTTATCCTCAATATAGTATAAAATTCTTCATTCGTTAACAATCATAGAGATCTTTCAATTTAACGTAGTTCTCTAAGTATCTATGAAAACAAGCATTGTAGTAAATCACATTATTTTTGTTTTATTTATCTGATATTACATTTGTAACAATTGGTGCAAAACAATCCGCACTGATTACATGCAAATCAGATATAAAAAGTTTAAAAGACATATTTTTCCACCATAGAAAAAGTGTCAAAACATGCATGCATAGTATTTATTTTGTTTATTTAACCGAGTACTGTTTTATGCCTTTCTCACGCAGCTATTATATTTCTGTTATCATTCTAATTACATGAAAGTATTTAAAAAGCTTTAGTAAGAAAGAAAAGAGGTTCAAGCACGAATATGGATTGCAGAGTAAATGGGAAAATATACTGCATTAATATACTCATGTCTTAGGTTCAATATATTATTGCAATATAATGTGAAAGTACGTAGAAATAATATGCATAATCAACGCTAATACACAAAAGGTGTTCTGTAAAAAACTTTACGAAAGCATCCTAAATGAATGCTCAAATATGTGAAGCTAATATACAGCGAATTAAATAATAATCAGAATATATAGATTTTAAATTTTTTATCTATTTGCTTTGAAGTTAAATCATAAAATAACTTTTTATGAGAGCAGTTTCGACATTTTCCCAGACATATTTTAAAATTTTAATATATGTTAAATTTCAGAAAGATCGAGAAGATATACATAACTTTTTTTTGTATTTCTATTAGTTACTTTAAGGTTCCTTTGAGTTCATATCCTTACATTGTATTATTTTTTTTTCAACTGTCTTGACACGTGCAATACACCTGGATGACTTTGAAGCCAAAAAAAATTCCATTTTAGTGCCAAATCACTGTGCACATGAGCCAAGTTATTTTCACCCTTTGTAGACGAAAGCTGTCAAAGAAACGGCATCTCACTTTTGTGGGTAAAATCGAATACGGTAAAGTATTTAAAAGACAGGCCACTAATAAAATTTTATTCAGACTTCTGTTACCTGTTATTATCACTAATATTTAAGTTTTCAAAATATTATCGTGTTTCCTATAAAACATCTTTGATTTATCATTAAGTATATTGTTTTTGAAATTGCCGACCAAATTATAATATTTTGGAGTCATCACTTTCTTTGGAAAATCTTTTCCTGGCTTCTTTGTGCATCATTTTAGTTTCGCTCCGAAATTCAATAATTTTACAAGTTATTTTGTATTTAGTTTCTTAAAACCTCTGATAAATAGTTTCCAATGACAACAGATAAGTTTCCAATAACAGAAAAGACACTGAAATAAATTTGGAATATTTTATCTGAAAATTGTGTTTTTGAAGCATGTTATTAAAATGTAAGGTTAAAAAAAAGCTACACACAGCTACAGGAAGAAAAACCCAAAGATTATTATCACGTAAAATATGCATTAATTACAGTTTGTTTCAAGAGCGGGGATAAAAATTCTGTACGCAAAGAAGCAAATCTTTCATAAAGTCTCCAGTTTTATCTTGCAAATGCACGTAGAATTAAAAATCAGCCACAGAAATTTGTTTTATGTTTCTGTTGACAAAGATTAAATATCTCACCTTCAATCAATTTCTTTTAGAGACAATTCCAGTACTCTAAAGGAAATTTCAGTTCATTATGATTTTTCTCCATTTGTAAATGCATTCTTTCGGCTGATCTCACATATTTTTAAAAAACCATTTCTAAATTTATATTCCAGAACATCAGATACAAAGTAAAAATATAAGAACAAGAGGAATCTTATTTTTAGAAAATAACAAATCTAAGATAATACAAGAAAAAATAATTTAAAATCGTTATTAATGTGCAGAAATGACATAAGCATCCTTTATAATGCATACGTTGTAATAAGAATTATTAATTAAGTAGATATGCATGTATAATTATCAAAATAGTAATTAATAAAATATTGCATTTCTTGATAATGAAAATATTTCCAAATTTTCGGAAATTCTTACACATATAGGAATAAAAGCAAATTATCCGTTTGTAATAATAAAAAATATTTCTCTAAGATATTTTTTCACAAATAGTGCAATTCTCAAATTTGCGCATTTACACACTGAACATTTTTAGCGAAAGTTATTCGTCTTTTTGTGTGTGTGTGTGGGGGGGGCTTAATTCCTTTCTACATATATGTTTATGTATATTTCAAATGCTATAATTTTTACCAGATAGAATTTTGCATAGACGCTCAAAAACTTTAGATGTAATATTGAAATTGCAGCCAATGTTTCATCAGTCCGTCACTGAAATGTAACCGCTTATTGCTTTACATTCTCGGGGCTAAGAAACATTCGGTCTCACTCGAATTTGAATTTCGCATAATTTTATTGGTTTATTTCGAAAAAACATTAAATTTGATAGTCTAAAGTTCCAAACAACTGCAGAATGCGTAAGTCTCATGACACGTGTAGTCAAGTCAGTTTCAATCGAAAGCAAAATTTGTCCGATCTTTAAGTTTTCCTTCAGCGTATAAAGATTTAGTTTTGTAAAGCAAAGTTGGCAATTCAAGGCAAATTAAGACATCGATCCTCAAATTTATGGTTTTAGCCAGCTCGCTAAAAACACTCCGTCAATGGCCGAGTAGATAAAATCGCTCAATATTGACAGTTCGACTCGGATTGGAATCCAGGTGAGAGTGCTAGCTGCATAGTTGGTTTTTGTGGCTTTTTCCATGTGTAAAATGAATGAGAGTGAGTTTTTCTTAAAATATTCTCCACGAAGGCATTTTTTCTCTTAAGCAGACAGCCCTGGAATGCTTTGCTATATTCAAATAACCTAACCTCGCAAAAACCTTTACTGTAGATTGGAATCAAACACTTTTGTTTTACAAGTTTATTGACATAAGCTAAGAACTGCATTTATATCCACAAGTTTTGGATACTGTTACTTGACATGGATAAAGCTGTAAAATAAACTTGACGTAAAGCTGTAAATAAATAACCGAAGAGGATGAAAACAGTATGAAAAACACCGAAGCAGAAATAGAAATTTGGCACCAGTCGACCCAGATTTCTATTCAAATTTCTGAAATCAAACAACAATGCTTATTTCCAAAACTGGCAGCTTTCAAGACTGAAATTTAGAAAATCTATATTTCAATTTTCATTACATGGTATTATAAAATTAATTTTCATAACAGCATGCACGTAGAATTGATAAAATTTAACAAATTTGCATGGATTTTTGCCAAATTATTTTCATTACCCATATGAAATCAGCTATAATTTCTTATTATTTGTTAGAATTTTCTGTTTAAAGTTATCTTCTGTAAAACTCATCAACTGTAATGTTAACTGTAAGAGAAAACATCCTTGTACAGCACGAAAACATTTATTACCTGTTGCTTATAATTCCTCCAGTTTTGCCTCAAAAGAAGCTCAAGTGTCAAAATAACTATACAAATTACTTCATAACTTACCTAGTAAAACATAGCCGAAACTCAGTGTGACTTTCACGTAAGGAAAAAAAATACAAACTTACCTTAACTAAATAAAACAATAGCTTATTAATTTGTTTAATTGATTATAAGATATATATAGAACGTTCAGTCATTCAATTTTAAAATTGAGAACACTAGAAAAATAAACAAATGGGCAATTTCCAAGGTACAGGGAGAAAAACCGATCTATATAAACTAAGATCTTAAAGCACATATGAGATCATCACAACCAAGAGTATAAAGTACACATATGTAGCTATCTACATAAAGCAAGAGAAAAAGACAGTAAAACTTTCATGACGTACTTAAATAAAATTCGTATTATATTTGACCATTTTTAAATTTCATGCCTTTGAATTTGGAGAAAAAGCAACGAAAACTGAGTGTTTTTAACAATAAAGTGATTTCTGCAACTTAAAAAGTTTTCATTTCATGCAGTTTAGAACAAGCTTTAGTTTAAGTTTTAAAACGCTTGTTTGCAAATTTCGCATTCTGCATAGATTTTTATAATGAATTTTTAATTCAGAAGGTTAAGAACTAATTATTAAGATGTGTAACTAAAACCACTATCAGCAAAGTTGTATGCCAGGATGACATGCAAATTGGAAGGATAATTATTACACATTAGGTAATGAATTTCGCAATGAATTCATGCTCCAGCATCCAATTACAAATCCACATCTAATGTAAATATAATATAAAACGATATGGAAAAATGAACATGGATGGGATCTGAACGTATGCTTCAAATTAGTTGCAGAAATGATTTTACTAGTCAGAATTACACAATTAATAGGAACATTAGTACAATGTAAATTCAACATACCAGTTATAGGCCTCGAGCAAGCTATGCATCTCTTGGCAAAGAGTTCCCCAAAGCACTCTGCGCAGTAGGGTTTGTCATCTCTTGATGTGAAACGCTGACCAGCAAGGCATGTATTGCAATTGGTACAACAAAAGCACTCTCTGTGCCAGGGTTCGTTGCGATACGTTACACCCCCGCTTGTAATAATCTGAAAAATAATGCAATTTTTTAATAAAAAAGACTAGATTTAATGAGTCATACTAGGTTTCTGGATTTCTGGAATATCATATAATTAATTTCAGTAGAATTGATGCGTGCAGTAGATTGGAATTTCAAAGTTATAACTGGTTTCGCTTTCATTAACTCTCAATTATTGGAAGAATGAGTAACACAAAACAGTATAGGAGTAGCATAAATCAATGTATTGAGGGCAACAAGTTTCAAGAAATATAGCGAATACTCGAAATATTGAATAGCAGCGAATCATAGCTAACGTGAAGTCCCTAAAATATACACAAACATGGTAAAATTTAATTTACAAACTACACACATTATCGTATTTCCAGAATTAAATAAAGCAATCAGCAATTCACGGCATGCCGCATTACCAGCAAAAGTAATGATACCTCGAAACAGTTTAAATTTTAATTTTTTCATTCCGAAATTTCATTTTTTCTTTGTGTTTGCTGTTTGAGGTCGTGATGAACTTCTTATAATAAGCAGGAATTCCTACCAGCATGCCTGGAAGTTCAATTGGGGCAGAATTGTCTGCTGACTATCGTACATCGCAATTGCTACTTGCGTTCGCAGTGATTCTATACGGTTATGAGAATTTGTAGTCGATGGGTCCAAAAGGCCACACACAGGTGACTTGCGGGTTCTCACTGGCCTAAAATCACCGATGCTCGAAGCGACCGACATCTTTTTTGCATTACTGTTAGGAATCGTACAGCCACATCACGTACCTATGTCAAGAAACTGGTTATGTTGCACAGCAAAAATGTATCTGGAGTGACGATATTTGCAAAGCCACAGGTTCTCACAAATGCGAATATTTCTTTGGTTTCCTATAATACTACGACACATTAATCAGTGTTTACAATGGTGCGTTTAACGTTACGCATGGATGCATCAAGGAGTGACATAGTCTTTTCCAATGAAACATGCTTTTGCTTATATACATAGGTATCTGTTTGTACAGTATATAAATATCTGTACGTATAGTGCAATTATATTTGCGATACCATGGATTTTTAATTAAGTGAGTATTGCTTCAGTTTCTTTTTATGTTACAGAACAGAATTTAGCGCCTACAATGGTGCCTTCAATGACGCATATGGATATATTAATGCCTTGACACTGTCTAAAAGCACGACATAAAAAATGATGAACCACGCTTTTGCTTACAGCATCATGATGGACGCATCCGTGTACCGGTTCAGACATGAATTGACGAAATGGGCTGTTTTTGGATAGACGTCTCATTCACATCTAGTACCCCTTTCTGGTACGTTTGACCAGCCACTGTTACATTACTGATCTTTTAATGTCCATAGCAATGTCATAGCTTCGGGGCATCCACTGCCACATCTTTCAACAGCCACAGCACGAAGACTGCATATTGCGTACATTGCCCTAAGTTTTACACAGGAGTTTCGGCTCTTGCCTTGAACAGCATTCTACAAGCTCTGACAAACTGAAAACTTCTAGTTAATGCTTGCAGAGATCCTGCACAATAACATCCGTCAGCTAACACGGCGGCTGAATTTTGGTACTGAAATGAAGCCGCATACACGTGATTATCCCATAATGGCATCCAAAGTTTTTTTGACTGCATGCCCAGCATACAGCATTAGTTAATGCTTAAGGTAATGATTTCTATATATTCTATAGCCAAAAATTACCTGGGATGTTAATAATTTTATCCTTCTATTGTAATTTATTTGTAAAATAAGTATATTTCTGCTAATTGCTTTCTTTCATGGTGCCCTTGTTTTAATGGCTAGCAGTGTATTTTTCCATTTTAACAATGCAAAAGCAATGAAACTTTAGTCCGAATCGTGCGCGCACACTTGGACTAATGGTAGGAATTGCTGTGGGAAGATTCCACTGGAAACGTATGGGCTATCGCATTTCACCGTGTAACATTCTCGTGCCCGTTCTCACTTATCATAGTTTTCATAATTTCTATGCTCTTTATATTTACTATGTTCAAAATTTTCTAAAGACCGCATTAAACAGGGAATAGATAGAAAGGTGGTATTCAATCAGTGGATAATGCGGCACAATTGTACACGCAAACGCTTGAGCGAATTCGGGAAGATATTAAATGAAGTAAAGTACGCTTTGCATGAAGAGGCAACAACGTGAAATGGTACACTCAAAGACATTAAAAATAGCTCATGAAGAAGGGAGCGTCGAATTGAAATGAAATTTAATGCACGTAAGGATACAGATGAGTGATTAACTTAAAACCAAATTCTACATAATTTAAACAAATACAGTATATACAATTACGCAAATATTGAGTGCAACTTCAATAGCGCGTCGGACCACCTCCTGCTGCAATACATGCCACAACAACCGTCCAGCATTGAGTTGATTAGATGTCTGATGTTGTCCTCAAGCAGATGAGCCAACAAATATTCACAGACACTTTCAGAATATATACAGAGTTACAAAACTGCATCCGGCATTTCAGCTGGTCCCACATATCTCTAAAAGAGACAAGTTCGGGAAGTGGGCCGTCATGGAAGCGTCTAAATATGACGTGGGATGTCTTTAGCAACTCGAGCTGTATACGGACGAGCATTATGTTGCTGAAAAATTGCCGCTGGGAAACCATTTAGAAAGGTCCCACGTGGTGTCGAAGAATGTCATCAGCATAATGCTGGCCCGTTTAGGTCCCACGTAATACAATTGGAGCGGACTGGCCATCATAGGCTACGGGCCGCACGATCCTTCGATCCTCTCTCCTCGTCGTCTTCCTGGTCACTCCAGACAAGATTTTCCGCACACGTGTCTACTGCTTCCAACATGTTCTGAAGGCAAACTCCGAACGATCGACCTGTCCAGCAACCCATCGCGTCGACCAGCCCGTGGTTTCCATGCCGATGATCAGGACCCTCTCAAACTCGCTTTAACTGTGAGAAATGTCTTCTCACACGTCTACCTGGCATTCTTCGCTTATTAAAGTCCTCCTAGAGTCGGAATGTGATCGTCACGTTTATGGATCTTCATCTATGCGCCGGTTTATATAGGGTCCACTTCCATAATGCAGCGTCGGTGTGTGGTCATGCACACTGGCGCCGAACTTGAAACGTTTGCATATCGACCTCACTGTGCTTATTTGCAAAGTTTCGCGATTGTATCTTTCTTCCTTTTTCGTGTGCTATTTTCAATGTTTCTGAGTGTACGAAGAAGTAAAAATGAAATAAAGTTCTCTGGCCTCATGTACACAGATAAGTAATATCCATAAACTACAAATTATTAGAAAAACAAAATCATTTAACTCAATATGAACACTGAAGAATACTTTAATATGCTGAATCATAAATTCTTAATAAACACGATTTTAATGCTTTTTAAGCCAAAGCGGCTGATTTTAATGAAAATATTCGCTATCAGATCATTCAAGAAAATTTAGTCTGCACTCAGTAGAGCACGAAGACAGTGAAGAATAAATCAACTTACTAATGCTTATCATTCGTTTCTAGGAAGAATCCTTGAAATATGAAAAAATCATCATTATCAAAGACTTCGAAGAATCCTTGAAATATGAAAAAATCATCATTATCAAAGACTTTGAATACTCCCGTTACCTCCAAAACCCACAAAAATTCTAGACATTTCAGCGTATTTTCAGTTAAAACTGCAAGAAGCGGAAACGATCAACACTACATGTTCGAGGTAAAATTTGAAATATTAACAAGCATCATTACTTACATGTCTCAAAGCATTCTGCAAAGAATACATGCAAATTACTTTCTTTGAAGCATCTGTAAGCTCAGAACAAAGCTGAACTCTATTGTTGCATTTCTGTAACAAATATGTATTGAAACGTTTTAAGTTAACGAAAGTTAACTTTTTAAGTTTTAACTATTTAAGCAATTTAAGAAAATCTGTTAATCAATCCAGCAGAGTTTGGATGGTGAGCATTATATTTCCTAAATTTAATAATGGACCAATTTCTACAATAAATCGTGCATGATTAAATTAAACAATTAACAAATTTCATGCCAAAATGTCTGAGCAAGACTTTTCTGCGGAAGGAAAAATCGACTTAAATTAAAGCTCATGCACAACAAATCAGCATCACAGTAACAATGGCTTTCCTCGATATCACTTTGATAATATTTTACTTTATATAATCTGTAGCAAAACAATTTGGTCAGAGTTCAGAAATATTCAGTTCCAGTGATCAAACGTTCAGATGATACTGACAAAATACCAGATTGAATTCTCTCTTCCCTGCACGAGTAAAGGGCTCAAACAAAATATCTATCAGCACAGAGATGAGTCGGTTAATTGCCTAGTCATTAAACTGCCCAGATTCAGAATCTAATGTTGCTGATTATCTGCTGAAGCATGATAATATATGACTCTGTAGTATCTAGTATTCTGTAGACCTGAAAGACTATAGTACTCAGTAGATCTGAGAGAAAATGATAAGGATAGCGGAGAAGGATCAAATTTAGGCGATAGGTTTCGGAAAATGTCACAAAGCTTAATTAAGAGCCAGGAACCTCTGGTTATTTTAGTTTCTCTTCTCTAAATGACGTTGTCAGTGGCATGAAAAGGCATTAGTGGCATTTATCACTTCAGAAAGTGTGTAATTTATATTCTACTAAGGACATAAAAAAAAAAAAAAAAAAAAAAAAAAAAAAAAAAAAAAAAAAAAAAAAAAAACCACTATGATTGATCAGTTTTCCAGTAGTTTCATTTAGCATGCATTGCATAAATGAATAAAATTGATGTTAACATAAAATTAGAAAAAGTAAATTTATTTTCAATTACCTGGTTGCATTTAATACATCTAGTGGCATATTTCTCTTCATAGCAACCTGTGCAATATATATCATTATCACGTGGGATGAAGCTTTTTGTTCCAATAGGAGCTTTGCACATGCAGCAGCAGAAACATTGATCGTGCCATTGATGGCCTTTGTATTCCATCTTTTTTGTACCTGCAATTTTTTGTAAAATTTTTAAAGAACTGTAATTCTGGGAAAAATCTAATGCACAAAAATACACAAAATATTTGATTATTAATGAAAGAAGCAGTTTCCATTAATTTGCTTTATTCGCTCCATTATATCCAAAATTATTAAAAATCTTCCTTTACTAAATGCTCTAATGTGCTTCAAATCATGCTAAGTTCTTAATAAACGTACAATGTGCTACGATTTAATTCCCACCGCATACTGATGCGCTTACTTAGCTGTATCGAAATCACGTATATACTATTTGTGTTTGAGCACATGCGAACTAAAATGAACATAACTTTCAAGAGACTAAAGACAGGTACAAGGAAGTAGATATCTGTATGTACTATCTGGCATAAAAATAGGCGATCCAAATTTGGAGCGTTATATTAACATCAGGTTTTATACGAAATCGAAAAAAATTCAACCAAAAAGTTTGAAATATTTAAAATTGCATATGATGAAGATGCTTCTAAAGCATTGAGAGCGATTAAGAGATAAAATAGAAGATGAAACACATGACAAAAGAAAACAACTAAAAACAACAATTATTGGACATAAATATTAAAAACGTGCAAGTTGCGATGCGGTCTAAAAACGGTTAAGTATGAAACTGATAGCTGTAAAATTATGAATTAAACGATAAACAGCCTACTTTTAATTGAAGAAATAGACATGAAAAAATTTCTGTTAAACTTCTACTTGCACACAGCCAGGACTCTCTCTGTGAGACATTTATCAGTCAAAAAATAATGATTACTGAATTAAATCATCTGGCCTATTTAAATGAATCAATTGGCTGTGATTTCTTGCTATTTCCAAAATTAAGAGCTGCGCTATAGAAACAGATATTCTCTAATATAACCGGTGTCTAACAGAATATGACACAGATATTCAGTAATATTTTGGAAATGTATTCATTAGTTTGAGCCTGATTCCTGAAATGAGGACGCCATTTAAATCAGTGTAACGGAAATACTTTGAAGTCTATAGTGCCCGTTTAGTGTAGAGTTGCATTTACATATTTTTTAAACTTTCATTACAGGAATTAAACTGTCATACCTGAAAAAAAGTTAAGATACTGATAATAGAAATTTGATTTGTATGCATTTTGCACTACATTTTACTATTGGCACCCTTCTCGGTCTTTTGTAAACGTACGGAAAGAAATGTTGATTTATAAAACAGAGAAGAATTGTCAGTAAAGCTGTGTAATGAGACATCTCATTTCATAATCTTTTCCCGCAATTGGTTAACAAGAGTTTCATTACCTATGTGTTGCTTAGCTACGTGAAGAATTTTGATTTACATCACTAGACTGGAGCTGAAATTATGCAGAATGAAATTTATTATAGTTTAGTGATTCAAGGCAATACTTTATGTCAGTAAACGACATGATTAAATTCATATGCAAAATGTATTTTTATAGACTACCAAGAGATTAAAAACACACCCTCAACATTTTTGTCCTATCTGAAATTCGGCGCGCTAAGACAAACTCTTGAAACAGGAAAAGTGCAGTCATTCTCTTTCTCGTCTCAAATCATACTTAAAACTACAAGATAAGCATTTTATCTTTGCCTGAACAGAATTCAATAGAAAGCACTAGTGGTCAAATTCAAAACCAAAACCAGTGTTCGTATCATTGTTATGGGAACGTCTGCTGAAATTATTTGTGGCTCTACTCGCTTTGAAGTTAAGAATTTAAGTCTATTAGGTACAATAAACCGTTTCAGTGATGATGCCAACAGATACACAAATAGCTTGAAATATTTAGAAACTAGATCAGCTAATCACATAGATATTCATAGCAAATGATCAACTGCGCTCGATTTTGAGAGGCTGCTCTAAGTTTTTAATAGAAACCCAAATTAGAAAATCAAAGTTTTCAAGATGGAATTATATGCAACACAAGTGGAGCATTTAAATGGTTATGGTACCGAAACATTTTACCATAACATGTTTTCAGCTCTGTTTGCTTTTTTTAAATTTGTGACTAAAATGTGTTTCTAATACTTCACACAAAATATTTATGACTTTTTAAAAATGTTTTGTTAATAATTGTATTCTTATTTCTTATTTTTACCAAAACGTGAAAGTTTTTTTTATGATCTGTTTTCTGCAATTATGCTAAACCTGATAAATTCAATAGCACTCATAAAACATACAATTAAATAATCTTTACAAGACAGAAAAAAGTTAAACAGCTCTAGTGAAAGAAATTATGAAAGGAAAAAGCTACATTTCTTTTCACATATGATCCATAATGTCTATGTTTCCTCAGATAATTGTTGCTTTATAGTAGCTGTAGGCCTAACTAAATGAAAGATAAAAAAATTCAGTTTAAAAATGTTTCATTTAACCTTTCGAGATATTTTACAAGCTTTTTAAAACATTTACTTTAGAACTTTCATTACAGCATACAACACAAAATTAGTAAACGGTTTTAAATAATTAATTTTAGGAATATATTAAATTCTTTAAATGCAGATTAATCCTTCCGTTTCGTAACAACACAACATGTTTTTTTATACCCTTCTTATCAAATGCCGCGAATTATAATACTTTATTACTCTCTTTTGCTTTTAGCTTATTAGAGAAAAAAGTGTTTGCCATTTTTTAATTTATGTAGTCTTGAGCTTTTCGTTTCACGCATTTTGGTCACAAACGTAGAGTATGCAATTATAACTGAAGATGTAAAGAAGTAGGGAATTGGAAAATTTCAACAGCTGTTTGTCAGTATTTCTAAAATGCATACCCGCTTTAAATACTTCTCCACAGCCATCACATCGAGTGGCAAAAGATGCGTCATAACAATTGGCACAGTAAACTTTCTCGGCTTTAGAACCAAAGGGCTTATCCACAAGAGATACTCGACATTTGTTGCACAGGAAACATGCTTCATGCCAGTGCTTTTCCTTGTAAGATAGATCCTGAAATAAAAAATAAAAATTTAAAAATTAATAATTAAAACAAAAAACTTTGGAAGATTATCAAATAAAATATTCTGGGAATTACATTTTTCAAAGTTTACATTTAATATTTAGAAACGGAGGAAGAAATACTTTAATTTTAATATTTAAAGAAAGTTTCCGAAACCTTGAAATTCCTAATTGTAAGAAAACTACACATTTTGACGTTAAAATGTCTATGGCAGTCCTTTTGTGTTTCGCATATCATTAAATTCAGTTACACTATCATTAACCAAGCAAGTATACTCGCGAATCCTTTTGTTAAACTTATGGAAGATGATCTTTAATTTACTTTTCAAAGCATAAAAATATACTTCATATCGGGGAATACGCTAAAAGAGATAAATAACATACATGTGCTTCCTAATAGTTTTTGCCTTTATTTAATTTTGTTTTTATAATTTAGAACACACTTTAATGCATAATTTTTAAACACATGCACTATAAGTTCTGTTAAAAAAAGAAGTTTCACATTATATACTGGATTATATAATTTACTCGCCGTTGAGCATCGAGTTTTATAAGGTTTTCCTGAGGAAATTTTAAGATTTTATTAAAATGAGGCATTTCAGATCAGCTGTTAATTAAGAACAATCTGGAATTTTTATATCCCACCTATATAGAGCAATATTTTTTTTAATGTTATACGCCTTCGTAGAACCCAAGGTCCGAGGTTGAAATATAATCTATAAAGTTTTTACCGTCATCTTAAAGCAGACGTATTTCTAAGCATACCTGCAAAAAATTAGTTTTGCATTCAAAATTTCTGAAGATATACGGGAATTTATATATTGGCGCGTTTTGAAATTTGGCATATTTGCTGAAAGCGATAAAACATCAAATGTGGTTTAGACACTTGGCTAAAATTATTTGAAAGTAAGAACGATGGGACTTTTTTCCGCTCATGTACAATGTAAAAAGGTAGGAACGAAGTGCCTTTTTTTTTCGCTCCAGCGTAATGAAAGGAAAATTGGTTGCCATATATTAAGAAATTCGCAAAATGAATTATTTTTGATACAAACTAAAACTACTGAGCCAAAATAAATTTTTGAATGTCTTCGTAAATTTCGCACCAGATTTTACAAAATTTAATATCTAGGCATAATTTGAGTCGTAGAATCGAAATATGGAAAAAATGGTATGTCAATTCAGAAAAAGTCCCATTTTGTGTCAAAATACCTATGTTAGAACAATGTTATATATAAATCTAATACCTATCCTAAGTCACGCTTTCGAGACATGAAAAACGCAATTTGAATTTCGTCAATCAGCCCAGTAGAACGGGAGATATAGAACAGGCCTTTCTAGATTAGGTTAGGTTAACTGATTGAGGCAAAACAATTCGAGGACTATCTGCCAATGGAAAGGGATGCCTTCGTGGATAGATTGTAAAGGGAAACTAACTCGTATCCACGTTATATATAGGAAAATTATTTGAAACTCTCATGCACGTAGCCCGTTTGCCTGGATTTGACCCTAGATTCAACTATCAATGTTCAGTGATTTTACCGCTCAGCAGCAGTCAAGACAGGAGATTCAGCAAATACATTTGGTATTCTTAACAAGTGGCTCTCGACAGAGTTTTCTGATTATATTAGAAGCAACTGTCTGTGAGTATAGTTATGTATGTTGGAACAGCGAGGGCAGTTAATATGCAATACTAGTAATATTACATATGACTCAGCTTAAGAACACTTGAAAAGAATTTTCTTCTCCTTACCTTTATCACATTGGTAGGGTTTTGCTCTACACGAGAGAGTATACACTATATCAATCTCATGGGTGTTCACTTATAGAGGCGTTGTAATTTTTACAGCAGGAACTGTAAGACAATCAGCGATGTTATTACATCGATTCGAATTCTGCACCTCTCGATTGTTAGTTAGACGTGCTTCATCCGTATCCAGTCCAGGTGGTCACAAATTATTGTTCGCCACATTTTAGTTTGGTGCCACTGTAACGCGATTATATATATATATATATATATATATATATATTTGTAACCGGGTGAATCTCTGAGTTTATTCATAGCGTGTTTTCGCTAGTCAGCGTACGTTTCGTTGTTGTTTCTCTGTTACGTTAGTAAGCCTCTTGGCCAGTTTCGGATCTATCATCACGCCTGTTAGGTTCTTGTGAGTCCACCTGTTAGGTGTAACTTACGTGCTATCAAGCACTACTTATTTTAGATTTTTGACTTGAATTATACTCTACGTTTTAGTTTCACCGGAAGTTTGACAGTGCCTTTGTAACGCACGAAGTTCGTGCCTTTCTGTTAACTATATTGAATTAATAAAGGGTTATTTTCACCCTTCTTCTCTGCTGGTAACTATTCACGCCTGTGCGAGAATTCGCCAGGTTCATTGTAGGATCTAATTTAGTTGATGTGGAAAAATAGAGAACGACCCTACAAAGTTTATGACATGATTTTTAACACTAAAAGTAGGTGAATTTAGTAAATAAAAAAATTAATTTTTGTAAGGTTCTGTGCAGAGTAGTCCCGCCTTGTGACCTGGTGGTTAAGAGATCAGATCTGCATACTGGTAGTTCGACGCGGGTTCAAACTTAGGCGAACGGGCTGGCAGCACGGTTGGATTCTGCAGATTTTTCTATGCGTACCATGAATACGCTTCAATTTTACCTTAAAGTAGTCAACGAAGGCATTCCTCCGCTCAGCAGATTGCCCTTTGTGTACTTTGCCGTATTCAAATAGCCTAACCTCCGAAAAGTGAAATGCTAATATGTTAATAGTGTTTTAAAAAATTAAATATGAAAAGTTTCAAATATTTACATGTAAAATTTATGGAATCGCTAGTAATAATTGTTTCATAGGTCCAGATTCAAAGTTAATTACGAATGCTGATTAAAAAAAGGCATAACTACTAATTGTTAGATCGGTTTGCAGTTTCTTCCTAAACCTAAGATAATTTTGGCAAAATCGCTTATCAATAGGTATTGCATGCGTCCTGTAAGTTAGTAAATTTGTTGTAGACTACACTACTATGGGTATTACACTTAAAGGTACGAAACATTGGCACTATTTTTATTTACTAAAGCATATGTTACTAATTGGACTAAATTTCGCTATAGTATTATTATCGAGTTATTTGATCTACGATGACCATGCAAAAAGTCAGATTTTATGTTTACATAATTCTCTAGAATCTATATTTACAGAAGTCTCTCCTTACTATCCCTGAAATTGTCTTTGTAAAGTTCTCTACCTTATTTTGAGAACTGTAATTGAAAGTAGGAATTAGAATATACGGACAACTTTTCGAACAATTTGTATATTTGTAGGAACATGGAAACAAACAATAACAAAAAAAAACTGTCTTGAGATTACTCCAGACATGAAAAACTAGATCTTGCATTCATATGTTTGCATTCTGTAAGCATTTTTTTTTTACTCTTCATCAGGTGAGAATTCAAGCCATGAGCTTTAATTTATTAATTAATTAATTTACTTGATTGAAAAAAAATTGAAACCTTACACTTCCGTTACCATCATAGAAAGGGACAAGTGCGCCCGAAGTGACGAATGAGGAAAATATTGCGTAATTCTAAAGAAATGTCAGATTCAATTATCAAATGAATTTTCATTTGATAAATTTTTCAAATTTCATGACATAAAAGTCATGAAATAGAATATCCAGCGAAACCAAGAGAAGTCAGCACAGTTCAGAGTGTGGAGAAAATGTAGCTCACTAAAAACACAGTAGCCCTATTTTTAAATTATTTATACCACAAATTGATTAATCCTAGAAAGGAATTTATTAAAGTAAGATGCTATATCATGCATTTCATGAGTATGCAAAGTATTAAAAGTGATCGTAATTTATATTAATCTTTAACTTCGATATGTGGCTTTGGTTTCAAATGAATTCTTCAGAAAATTACATAATTATTCTACTGAGCATAAGATCCAAGCTAAGTATATTCAGATATCTTCAGATATCCAAGCTAAGTAAGTACATTCCATGTATTGCTTATAAATACCACAAAATGTGCAAATGATTTCTTTCTCTTCTGTTTTGAAATTGAATATCATTGCTTATGAGAAAAATTTTCATGCTTAAATAAGGAAAATTTGGTTTCTGGAACTAGCAAAAATTTTAGTTATGCGATATAAATAACTTCCTATTACCCGGGTGAAAATGTGTTTGGCGGATACAACATTTTGCTTAATAATCTCAAAATTAATGGTCAGGCGTAGACATATTAACATTCTAAGAATTTAAAAAGTAAACTATTTAAAAGCTTCGGGTATTTTGTTAAGATTTCACACAAACTTTCGAATATAAATGAGAACTCCTGCATTTTATGTAGGAAAATTTTTAGTTAAATATAAACTGAATGGTGCTATATTACAGGGAATGATTTATAAAGTAGTATAGTTTATTTCGTTACATCAAACTTAATACTGAACATACTGAACTAATTCTTGCGCGTAGATTCTTTTCTAAAATTTTTCATTTTCTTCATTCATAAAATCATTTTCTTATTTTCATAAAATGAAACTCAGGCTTTTAAGTGTTTGCTTCAAAATTAGGAAATGTATTGTTAAATATATATAAAGTAACTCAGCTGACCGTTTTTTTATGTAATATAGGACAAGCATTCGCCACTTTATCAATACTCAAAACTGAGGTATGTGTAATCACATAAATGTATTTGATAAATCAAATACCTTTATCTGATAATTATTGATTTACCTGGTCATTTAAAATTGTCAAAATTTTAAAATATGCCCTTTTTATTTGAATGAAGTCCAAAAAATGTTTTACGCGAAGAAAATCTCAAGGATATACTAGATTTGTTAACTCGGTCGTACAGCTGTACAAATTAACTGAATCTGATACAATCTAATACATAATTCCTTATATATTTTTGTCATCCATACAATGCGAATAAATACATTCGATGATTAGTACACATCAATTATAATAATCGCTATTATTGCCTTCCTTTCCCATTAGCATTCAAAACTATACAAATCTTATTTTCATTACTGCACCTTTATTCGCACTGCAAGTGGTATGAAAAGTTTACAAGCTATTTTGTAACTTCATAAAAATCTACATGCGTGATATGATTAGTATATTTGCACTACAATCTAAAATGCTATTGTGACTCATTTTTCTTTTCGATTAGAATTGTGATATCTATCTAAAGAAGAGAATAATAACTATAATTTAAGAACTATTTACGATTATTAAATTTGGTTTTCGTTCTTTTTCCATTTTCAATATATATTGATAATTTTATACGATAACTTACTTTACACATAAGTAATGACCCGTCTCTCGAAATACATAACTCCCTATGACATTCCTCATTTACAACCATGAATAATCATTTTCGTAACAAAATATAATTTCCTATAATACGCTTATTGTGTTTCCCGGTTTTCTAAGAAATGTAGATTATATCTTACTCGAATAATCTTTGTTTAGAGAACAAAGAAATATGACGATAATAGTCATATTTCTTAATAATACTTATTTCAAAGAAATAAGTGATGGATATATAAGAACTGCAATCTAAAACTGTTTTAAGGCTGGCCCAATAGCCTAAATATGGATGATTTTAAGATTTAGTAATTTTTTAGTTAAAGCGTTCAGAAATTCTGAAGAAATTACTAATCATTTTTAGACAAAGTTGCCCATACTTTATATTCGACGAGCTTCAAAGCTCGTTATATCCTTTTTTTATACATCTGGAGGATCGCTATTGCCGTATAAAATAACATTACCCATACAGGAAGTTAGATGGAAGCAGAAAGTTCGTATGTGATACCCTGACTTCATTATAAACAGGATTTACTATGGAAGAGTTCGACTGTTTTAAACATTAATCATTTCAGCCGCAGCATTCTAATATTCGCGGCACTTTATCAACTTAGATGAAGTCTGGATCAGATACTTCTTTTTCTAACCTCGGATAAGAGAAAAAAATGTGAGGGGAGTAAGAAAGTCTGCAATAACGTATTAAGAGCAGGCGTACATCTGTTACGAAGCAGGTGAAAGTAACAAGAAAAGAAAGGCGCCAAAACGTTGAGAACCTGGGAGCGTCATGACGCTTGAGCCATGTTTGGCACTCACTCGAATGATCTCCTCCCGCTTCCTCTGGATATAAAAGGAAGAGCGAAATACAATCTAGTCTTCCCGGTAAACACTCTTGGCAGAAAGAAAGTAAAGCTTCCAACCTGTTCACAGCGTGCCTTCATTTTTAAAAATAAATGCACATTTGTTTAAGTTGCAATTCGAATACTTACATTTTCCTTTTCAGGTCTAATACCATTAAGATGACAAACAGCTCAATACTGCTTTAAATCTCAGCAACTCAAAGTGTAACTGATACGTTTAACTTCTTCAGATAAAGCGACGTTTAAGGAGCCGCGCTAGTATTACTCTTCAAGTACCTTCCGAAGAGTCTGGCACTCCCACGCACGCAAGGTTTTACACAATAAACTCCTACCGTATTTTTTTCGTAACATGGCTGTTGAATAAATTATTTTGACCCTTCGAAACCCATTACAGCAGCAATTCTTAAACTGGGTCTGTAGTCAAGGGTTAGTAAGGAATTTTTAAGACTAAAATTTGCTTTTTATTAATTTTATTACCATACGTGTAGTGAAAATTTCATGCAAATTGATGATTAAGGGTCCAGTAAAATTCACATCATACAAGAGGGATCCTTGAACTCATGAACTTAAGGCATTACAATATTACAAATATTCTTAAAAAGCAGGTTTTTCTACACAACCAAGAACCCACTTGATAGATTCAGAAGTCCAGCAAAAAATCAAAAATAAAATTTAGTCAGTCAATGTTATGATAATTATGATTCTGATATGCCACTCAAATACGATTTGTTTTCAGTTAAGAGAAATATCTGCCATTATTAAAGAACAAGTAGTAAGAATACTAAAGGAAAATAATCAGCATATTTAAGCACAGAATACACAATGGCAAAAACGAAAACGCATTCATTTCCAAAACCAAGCAAACTTCCTACATTTAATACTGTTTTAATTAGTATTTTCAGTTTTGTACATAAAACTATTTATTCACTCCATATATTCAATTTTAAATAATATCTGAATACACTAAATAATGTTCGTAATTGGAAAAATACGAAATAAATTAATGATAAAGTATGCATAAACAATATCGGAGAAGTAGTACTAAAATTGTGGGATACTCAATGATGGAAGCTATAAAAACAATCGAGCCATTAACTATCTTATTAAGTGATTTATTGATCGAAACTGAAAAGATATTGAATTATGTGTTATATATTTATCCTTCGAATACCTTCCACACATGTTTATTTTACTTGTATTAGTGTTTGCTAAAATTATTGTAACTAATTTATTTATACCAATATTTTGGTCGTAAAACCGTTTTAAACAATGTTATCTGAAACCTGCAACTTCATGCGAAGGATGACATACGATCTGTACATGAAATAATTCCATTTTCTTAACTTTAATTATTCCTTGAGTTTGGGAATATTAAAAATACTTTTTAAATGCCTGAAATAAATTTCTTCCGTCTATTCATAAAAGAATTAGAGAAGACTTAAATCTTTTTAGATATTTATATACTTTTGATTCTCTTAGTAAACCTATTTTAAAAACCAAATTCATATAAACAAATCATCAGGCAAAGATTTAAAGAGTTGAACAAAAGTAATGATTAAAGGTCAGTATCAGAAGTCAATAGTGCCAATGTCAATGTAAAAATTTCGAAATGTATCTGGAATTTCGGCTTATTATTCACACGGCGCTGCTGTTATTAATTATTATTTTAAACTTATTATAACTTGTATAACAACATTAAGCGCTTATGTATAATTTATGTAATATTCAATAAAAGAGTGGAACATTATTTTAAAATGATAAAACTTCGAATATTATTTTTATAAATGTCATTATATCTAAAAGCGCTTTACTCGCTTATGGTATTTAGGTAATATTCATGACGGACCGCATACACATCTGCAGTACTTCAGAATATACAATACTGGGAATGCTCATGTTCCGTTCTTTAAAATTCATGAATATACATTCATTTTGATTTAGATCGCTAAAAAGAACAGGTTGATAAAAATTCCTTTCAAAGGGTAGTCACGTTGACTATTTTCATTATTTATATGAATGGTTGCTACGTAATACTTTGCTAGCTTATAAAATTTAATTTACTTCGAATTTCTCCTATTTTCACCATTCACAAAGGAATCTCTTATTGCATTTTACAATGGATTACTTCTGAAGTGACATACAATTCTGAATGCCAAACTAGGAACTAGAATGCATTACGTTTTTACTCGAATTCTAGGATTTGAGAAGCTTAAAAGGAGTTCAAAATGACTTTAAAATGAAAGGAGAGTAACTGGGGAAAACACCGCGGGACTTAAAGTAATTTTATGGCAAAAGACGATGAAATCCTGCCAGTTTTCAATCAGTTATTATATGAAATTCCAATAAAGCTTTGAAAGACCAAAGCATGAGGGTAATGCCTACGGAATGCTTTTTGACACACCTTGTGATAACCTAAAGCTTGTAATTAAATGTTTCTTGCTGGAAAAATGGTCATAAAGCGAGGCAGATCGGCAGGAATATCCCTTTACCTTTTACGTCTCAGGAAAACCTTCGAATGGATGAGAGAATGAGATGCTGATCCTGTAATATATATTAAGAACTCCATATATAGTTTTAAGAATACCAGAACACGCGAGCTTTGTTACACAGATTTCTCCCTAGTTCTGAATAAGTATAGAAGACAGGAAAAAATAAAGATCCAGAATAAAGTTCTAAGCAATATTCACATTATTTAAACTCTTACTTTAGCATGCTGCTAGTATTTTGACATTGCATTAGCAAAGATGAAGGGTATGCGGTATCAAGGAGCTTATTATTGTCAGTGAGAAACAGAAACCCAGATTCATATTAACATGCTATTCAAGTCCATCCATTTCCGATATGTGTTCGAGCCCATTCTAGTCACTGAGTTTTGTGGCGACGTGTAAATAATGTAGCATGAAAGGGACTTCGCTCACCAAATGTGATGCAGCACCAGAGGCAACAGACGTTTCCAGAAACATTTTGTGTTTGGCTCGGGCAGAAATATGCAGTGATCTTGTACACTGTAACTCATCTATTCGTCGTTAATGCCAATGACAATCAATGAGAGCTGCGTACGTTAATTCCATGTGGCATCTTACATGAGTGGAAATACTATGGCTATAACTCACGATAAACCTAAGACTAATGAACAAGACTTCTGTCTCTCTGATCTGGGAAGTAAAAATTCATGGGTAAACTCCACCGAATATAACGCAATACCCGAAATCAATGGAACTTGGTCCGCTGCCATGCTGAATGAACAATTAAATTGAAGTGCATGTTTGGCTTACATGTTACTGGACAGTAATTTTGTTTTTGAGAACATAGCATCGGTTACATTTGACTTGTTAATTCTGTTTTAACTGCTGTTTCCATAATCCATGTTACCTCAGTATACGTTCACAGTGGATTTTCTATAATCATAAATAACAACATTTGTAAATGTATTAACAGAACGTTTAAAAGGCATACCTTTGAATCGATGCCGATAAGTTTCCCGCATTCTTCGCAGCTATTGGCAAACACTTGTTCGTAACATCGGACGCAGTATGGATGCTCGTCCCTCAGCACATAGCGTTGTCCAGTCAGAGACTCGTCGCATTGCCAGCAGCAGAAGTGAGCTGAATGCCAGTCCTTGGACATTGCTTTCGTATATTCGCCAGAGAAAATCAGCTGAAATAAAAAGAATCACATAATTAATCGTTATTAAATAGCAATTTAAACACTGCAAATAAAACGTTGTAACCAAAACATCTATACTCACAAGCAGAACACTGCTTTAATAATAAATACAATAATAAATTCAGTAAAGTTTTGGACATTTCATAACATTACAGAAATTCTTTGCATGACGTATAAATGTCTCTTAAGTGTGCAGAGTGGAATAGTTCAGATTATTGTTTCCAACACCAGCAACATTATACGTTCGCTAGTGATTATCCCAGGCCCCATATCATCTCTGTGTTAAGTCAAATTCACCGTTATTTTTAATAGATTAGATAGCAAGAGACTTATGCTGCTTGCATTACTGCTTAGAAACGGGCAGCAAACAAAATTTGATTTCCTACCAGAAACTGAGCTCAGGCTTATTACTCTTCAATTCAAATGGAGTGTTTACGCCATGGATAACGATTTGCTTTGCATACTGATTCGATGGGACAAACTTTAACGGTTTGTGAGCATATAAATCTATCGCGAATGTATGCCTTCAATCAAGTTCAATTCTTTTGATAAGCTGCCTGGAATAATACTGCCCATTCTTTCGATGTTACAGCCTTGTAAAGATCTTACGTAAAGACAATTTGCGTGGTTTATCACCCCTAACCTTCTGGTAGATGATTCTTTCGAAAATTTTCACAATCGCGCATTTAAGATTTAATTAATTTCGAGTTCACTCATTAACTCAAGAAGTAGTTCCAGTCTACAACTCTACAATGGGAGATATCATCTAGATCAGCGGTCGCCAACTGGTGGTCCACGGTCCACTGGTGGTCGGTGAAAAACCTTTTGACGGTCCGCAGAAAAATTGGGACATTATTTATATTTTTATGAATATTCAGTTTAAAAAATGACTAGTAATAAAACCTGTTATGGAATACGGACTATACTTTTTTTTAAATTTTACCTACTACTTTTAGCGAAATTCCTTCTGAATTTAGCGACAGTTTAGCTACTTTTGCAAGTGTCTAGTGACATTTGAAAGTGAGAGTTGGAATTGATGGATATGCTGATGCTATCAATAATAGCGAGAACTGGAATTCTCTTTACTTTTGAATTACAAACATATGGTATTGTAGTCGTTAATAATACAGTTTTTCTCTGTGTCAATAGGCAACTTGATGGACTTTTATGAGAACCACCTGTATTCTTGTTTTTATTTGCATCACTGGAAGTTTCCGTTTTTATTTTGTCTAACTGTTGATTGATGGCGCGACTGCTGAGTAAGCGATAATTATTATGTTTACAAAAATTAAAAATTGGCGGCATAATACTTTCAATTTATTGATATTGCTTAGCGTTTGCCGGTTTGTTCTTGCTTTTCGTGAAGTTCCTTTTCAGTGATACGGAAATGTGAAGCTTTCGTTACAAGAAGGTAACATTTTTGTACTTTTCATATGATTTTTCAATCTGAACGAAATATGTGTATCAGTGAGATGTTAATAGTGTTTTAATTGTTACTCATAATCAGGGGCGTAGCCTGAATTTCCATAAAGCTGAACGCCAAATGTTTCGAAAATTATATTAACAAATGAAAATTAGAATTACATGTATTGGAATGCTGAATATTATTTTTGCGTATTAATATGTTGTTTATAAAGGTCTGATTTAAGTTTTTTTTAAAATTCATATTAGCGGTCCGCCAAATATAAAATTATATATATAGTGGCCCATGAAGTTCTAAGAGTTGACGACTGCTGATCTAGATGACTTGTAGAGTCAGAGACATGAAAAATGTGATATGCCCTCCCCCGGACTCGAACCTTGGACCTCTCGAATACGCGTCGATCATGCTTCCAGTTACACTATGAATACATGCGGAAAGGAGGGAGAAAATACCTTACAGATTTCTTCATGATATCATGTTATTCGCTATAACAGAACCAAAAAATTGCAGTATAGAGCAAAAATTAGTCCATAACCACAATATCATATTTCTTCAATAGATTTCTAATTCTTATATGGGTTCATATATTTGCAAACAGCCAATGATAAGTCATATCGTCCATCTTAAATCACGCAATACTATCAGCACTTTTCACCTCTAATGATATCTTTCACATTCTAAAATTCGCATTGTGCCTATTCCTTTTAAAAATTGATACCAGTGTATCATGAACAAACTCATCAATCAAATATGTAGGAAAATTTTAATTCTCCTTAACAACACTAAAACTGTAACATAAAAGTAATGTATAAAATTTTTAATATTTCTTTATATTATTGATTGATTTCTGTAAAATGTTCAGAACCCCTCGGAAAGTTGGTAAATCATAAGAAAAAGGTAAACTCTAATATATACATCAGGCCTCATATATTGATTATTACTCATTTTCACGTTCCGTAAGCGATAATTAAGCAGTTCGGATAACTTACACCGTACAGAAGTTATTTTATATTATTTTCAGGTACGTCGCATTCACGGCAGAATTAAATGACGTTATTTCCCAGCCCATTCTAAAAATTTTTCCGGAGCGTTTCCACTTCAAGGTTGGTAACTGCCTGTATACTGATTAGATGAGGGAAACAATCATATTTATTGTTTGAGGGAAATTGGTTTTGATAATTATAACACTCCAAGCTGATTGCTAGCGTTACTGTCGAGATAAAATCGACCTTTTTATAATAATTATAGCTTTAGTTGTAATCCACAAGGAATGGACAAAAAAAGTTTTTATGAATTATATTGTTATGACAACGATAACTTGCGGATAGTGACATATAAATAAATCTGCATGAAATACCATTACGTAGCTATATTTTTAGGAATAGTTTAAGTAGCAGAGTTATAATCTTACACACAGTCAAATAGTCTGGAATCTCGATTATGACGATATTAGTAGCCTTCAAACATTATTCATGCAATATAATTATTCAAAAGTACTTTCATTTCTATGATTGGATTTATTAACAATTTAATATAGCATCTTTATTATGTAAAGTAAATATTATTTCATAATTTAAAGTGTAATATTTTGCGCATATCCTCACACAGTAAGCAAAATGCCGGAAAAATATTCGAATTAGCTTATCAGTCATAGATATATGCTTCGTGAACAGCAGGTAAAATATTTGAATAATAAAAGAAAAATATTTTGTAAATGTGAATTTATACGTCAAGGAATTAATTAAGTTTGCTTTAATAAAGGAAAAAAGAAAGAAAGAGAGAACAACAAACAGATCTATATATTTTAAAACAAGTTCAAGCTGGCAATAATGTTAAAAATACAATTTCTTCAGGTTTAAGACATTCTTTAATTCCCGCAAAATATGTACATTAAAAGTGGCTCCGGAATAAAAGTATCTTTCTTTTTTATTACTTCATAGCATTTTCATTTTACAAGACGCCGAAAAATTTCAACTAGTTCTGATAATGAAGAGTAACTTAAAATAACAGAGAGCGAGCACTTCAACGCTGCTTTGAAAATTCTTATCTAATGCAACATTCAGTACGTGGGAGTGACAAGAAAAGTAACCTTACTAAACCTATGATCTATTTTATTTTTATATTACTTAAGTGGCTACACAGATTGTAAATAACGCTACAGCAGATTATGTTTCGTCATATATGTATTCAAACGTTAATTGCAGCTTTAAATTAGAGAAAACAATGATCCACGTGACAGAAAAATAAGAAAACAGAAAACGACTCGAAAACAAAATGCGGGTAAAGAGTGTAGCTGTCGCTGTATCTTGACCGTACTCTTAAACTCTATGCGATAATAATTTTAATTCCTTCTTAATACAAAATTATGGAAAAAATGCTAGGTTGGAGTAGATGCTAGTACAGGTTGAACTTTAAACCATTTAGTTATTTCATATTTTTGTCGCGGTTTCTTAGAGCTTCCATACGAGCTCCTTGGGTTTAATAATCCTGCCCCCTTTCCTCAGAGTTTCAAATTTTTCTGCACTTCATTTATGACAATAGTCCTCTTCAAGAGAATTTGTTAAATGTCTGGTTAGAAACCCCATTAGGAAAATAAACAAAAACCTATAGCCCGAATCTGCTCTTTTCACTTTGTGTACAGTTGCTTTAATATTAATTTCAGAAAATTAAAAATTTTCATAGTTTGTGAAGAGAAATGCATGGAAATTTTAAGACATAAGAGGGGAGGTCAAATAAACTCGCAATCTCAATAGAAGCAAGGCATCATATTTAATTACTACGCTGGCAGTTATTTGTGTTATGGAAGTTCGTAAACATCTTTACGATACCAAGTAAAACTATACAGTTTGGACAATTTACATATTTGTAAAATATTGTAACATCCAAAAAGGTAATCAGTTTATATTTTATAGATTTTACTCTATAAAGAAAAACATTCTTTAACATGATTTTCATCGCTTTAAAAATAAACAAAATCAGTGAATGCTGTTTTCAAATATGGTGAGTCTTATCTTGCAAGCTATGACTTTGCTTGTACGACTGACTGAGAATTTTGCCCTCTCATTATCAAACAGCCTAAACCTGAAAGTAACAACGACTCTCGCTATAATAGAAAAAAGAGCTTTTTCTTTCTCATTTTTGGAACAAATGTAAAAAGTAGACTTAACATTTTCGCAAGCACTGAGAATTAATACAGCTTATCTCAGTATAATTCCATGGGAAATATTTATGTTTTTGAACGCAAAGAAAAGAGTGAATGCGGTCGCAAGTGTGTGCGGCTTGCTGTACCAAAGTTAACACCTTGCTACAGCAAGCCTTAAGTTTTTCTCGAAATTTTTATTTCTCTTCGGTGCTCGAGAGCAATTCCAGCATAATCAAAGCCACTTTGTATGGACCTAGTATGGTATTAAAGGCACTTTGTATGTTGTTTAACACTGACTGCATTATATTTAATACGAAGAAAAATAAACGAGAATCTTAGGAGTTAGCGTTTTACTGCAATATTTGAACTACTCAATTGACAAAAACTGAAGCAGAAATGGTCTTTGCGACGCTTCCAGAAATACTC